TTACACTTTAGAAGGTTATACATTTCCCATTTCTAATAAGTAGAAAAAAACAATGGTCGGTTCTTATTCAGGACGTCCCATACTATATGCACACCTCATATCAAACCATTTTACTGCAGCGTTTTCGAGATATCGGTCATTATTGCACTTTACAGGGCTATAAAGACCCCATTTCTCATAAGTAGAAAAAAACAATGGTCAGTTCTTATATGGGACATCCCATACTGTATACACATGTCATAGGAAACCATTTTACTGCGGTATTTGGGAGATATAGTATGTCATTATTCTATTTTCTACATCTATAAAGACCTCATTTCAAATAAGTAGAAACAAGTAATGGTCAGTTTCTATAGGGGACGTCACATACAGTATGCATACCATATATGAGTACATTTCACCCCAGGCGGTAGATCCTTCTCCTATTTGGCACCTAAACTCTGGAACAATCTTCCTAGCATTGTTCAGGAAGCAGACAGACTCTGTAAGTCTAAATCTAGATTAAAAACACATCTCTTTAACCTGGCATACACATAACACATTATCAATTTATATTTTCACATTGTTAAGCTGCATAAATTAGATCAGCCGGAACAAGGGAACACTTCCTATAACACCAGATGTACTTGTTACATCAGAAGAAGAATGGCATCTACACTAATATTGCTATTTTTCATTCTTATTCCAAGGTTTACCGTAGAAATGTCCTGTATTAGAACAGTTTTTTCTACTTATTAGAAATGGTGTCTTTATATCCTTCTAAAGCGCCATATGGTCCCATATCTCAAAAATGCTGCAGTAAAATTATTTCATATGAGGGGTGCATATAGTATGGGATGTATGTAGTATTTCTACTTATTAAAAATGGGGTCTTTATAGCCCTCTAAAATAAGATATAGTCCCATATCTCAAAAAAGCAGCAGCAAAATGTCTTTGTATGAGATGTGCATATAGTATGGGACGTCCTGAATAAGAACCGACCATTGATTTTTTCTGCTTATTAGAAATGGGGTCTTTATAGCCCTCTAAAATAAGATATAGTCCCATATCTCAAAAAAGCAGCAGCAAAATGTCTTTGTATGAGATGTGCATATAGTATGGGACGTCCCTTATAGGAACTGACCATTGGTTTTTTATACTTGTTAGAAATCGGGTCTTTATAGGCCTCTGAAAAAGAATATTGTCCCATATCTCAAAAATGGTGCAGTAAAATGGTTTGATATGAGGTGTGCATATAGTATGGGACGTCCTGAGTAAGTACCGACCATTGTTTTTTTCTACTTATTAGAAATGGGGTCTTTATAGCTCTCTAAAGTGCCATATGGTCCCATATCTAAAAAATGCCGCAGTAAAATGGTTTGATATGAGGTGTGCATATAGTATGGGACGTCCTGAGTAAGTACCGACCATTGTTTTTTTTCTACTTATTAGAAATGGGATCTTTATACTCCTCTAAAATGTAATAATGTCCGATATCTCCAAAACTCTGCAGTAAAATGGTTTGATATAAGGTGTGCATATAGTATGGGATGTCCCTTATTTTATACTTATTAGAAATGTGGTCTTTTATAGCCCTTTAAAGTGTCATAATGTCCCATATCTTAGAAACGCTGCAGTAAAATGGTTTGATATGAGGTGTGCATATAGTATGGGACGTCCTGAGTAAGTACCGACCATTGTTTTTTTTCTACTTATTAGAAATGGGATCTTTATACTCCTCTAAAATGTAATAATGTCCGATATCTCCAAAACTCTGCAGTAAAATGGTTTGATATAAGGTGTGCATATAGTATGGGATGTCCCTTATTTTATACTTATTAGAAATGTGGTCTTTTATAGCCCTTTAAAGTGTCATAATGTCCCATATCTTAGAAACGCTGCAGTAAAATGGTTTGATATGAGGTGTGCATATAGCCTTCTAAAGTGTAATATTATCCTTTGGAAATTATAGTAATACAGAACAGTCAAAGACAACAACAAATTACAAGAATATTAAAGTAGATGGTCAAAAAAAAAACTAAAAAATTTAATCATATCTCAATTCTGGGCATCTAGATGAAAAACGCTCTGAAAGCGCGTTCCCTCTGTGTTGTTCCTGTTCCCTCTGTGATAGCTGTTTTTAATGCCTGATCAAAAGTTACTGCGAACCTGATACTACTACTACTAACAACAACAAAAGAACACATTACATAATTGTTGTTATTAAATGAAATATCTGGACATTTAACACTTATTTGATAACATTACAGATTGATCTGAATAAACAGGGTATGTGCAACTTTGGTGTATAAGACAGCAGGCTAACCAGGTAGCTGTATTTTGTGCAAATGATATAAATCATAATGTGATTTTGTAGAAATTGTAATCAGGTGCTAAAAAAAAAAAAGAGTACCCACTAAAATGTCTTTACATCAAGGAGCCGATCATGGAACACTGCACAGTACAAGCGCAGCATTGAGCTTCTTGAGTCTGTTCAGTAAAGAGTGTTTTGATTGGTGGATTAAAAGCTCACCGCGATTGGCTGAACGGAACATCCTCCAAAAAAAGATATTTATGAATCTTAACCTGCCAGGAAGGTCTCAAAAATACCACAAACAAATTCAAAGCAGTCCACGCATGTATGACGATTTGCAAATGCAGATTCAACGATCCATAAATACATGTAACATCATTCATTAATGTGTGATGGAAATTAATTCAAGAACTTGATTTATGAATTTTGTTTTGCAAATATGTTATTTTTGAGGCCGATCTGGCTCCATATTATACTGGCCCCAATAATCAAAACTACTACTTAGCGCTTGCTCCATTCCTGCAGATCAGTTTTTGTGAATTAATGACTTGCGCTACCGGTTGTTTTGGTCTTCATCAACAGCCGCTTGCGCCACCTGCTGGTGAGCGACTGACAGCAGCTGGAGATCATGCATTGGTGCTCTACTGCTATTCCTGCAGCTATTCCTTCTGGCTTTCAATGTGCAATGACAAATTTTCTGCCGAATTTTTACCACTGAATTTGTGGAAGTGAGTTTGGAAAAAAAAAAGAATAAAATGAAATAAAATGGACTGAAATTTGCCTGTCGAATATTATACATCGTATTTTTAAACAGATTGAATATTTTGGAAGTGAATTCTGGAAGGTGATATGAATTATTGAATTTTTAATTCGAATATTTTCAATTTTTGAATTGAAATATTCACAGCTTAAATAAACAACTATGTTAGATTTCAGGACCTTAAAATGCAAGGCATTAAAATGCAAGCACTGTTAATGCTAAGCATTATTTTTTCAGTTAGTGCTATTCAACATGCTTTTTTGGTTCAAAGATATATGGCATTGTTTTACTTCCATACGAAAGATCCAAAGATAAAAAGCTTTTGTAACATTATACACTATATTCAAAAGCTCGGAGTCAGTATAATGTTTTTTTTTTATTATAGAAATTAATACTTTTATTTAGCAAGGATGCTTTAAATTGATCAAAAGTGATTGATCAAAAGTATTCATCAAAGAAACCTGAAAAATTTCTACTCAGCTTTTTTCAACATAATAATAATAATATGTTTTTTTTTAGCAGCAAATCAGAATATTAGAATGATTTCTGAAGGATCATGTGACTGGAGTAATGATGCTGAAAATTCAGATTAAAGCAGTTATTTTAAATAGTAAAAATATTTCACAATATTACTGCTTTTGCAGGCTTGGTGAGCAGAAGAGACTTCTTTCAAAAACATTCAAAACTCTTGACTGGTAGTTTATATATATATATATATATATGCAACTTTATTTTTTATCTTATTTCTCGCTTTTAATTGGGTAAAAAAATCAGATACACTGCTGGACAATAACCAATAATAATGATTTGTTTATATACTACAAACACTTTTTTCCCCCATTTTTATCACATAAGGCAGAAGTTTGGGGGGGGGGGTCCTGTTTACTTGCTGTTAATAAACAGAATTTGGATGTATACCCTCTCACATAGAGAGACTCTCAGCCTTACATATCCAGTACTACAGCATGATACATGATACAAAAAATATAAATACAAATAATAGCCAGGTAATTTATATATTTCTTATCCTACAATGAAAATAGTTCCAAAAGAAGTCAAATCATCAAGTTTTACATGCCACCAACCTACACATACTGAAAGTCAGTCTGGAACAGCTTCTATTATTGGAGTGAAAAGACAGACCCCTTCCCCTCTAAAGTGATCTCCCTTAGGACACTTACATTTTGATGTAGTAGGTCTATATTTAATGTGCAGCGGAATCTCCAAGGTGTAACTTTTTATTTTTGATGTCCAGGCACTCATAATATTAACTAGTGCTTTAACTGAAATCCATGTTTTTGCATTCCAGTTTTCTGAAACTGAAAGATAATGATGCTGTGTCTTGGCATGCTGCCCACCCAAAATATCCAAACATGTATATTGCACACCCAAATATTCCTTCTGGCTTTCAATTATACCTTTTTTAATACCTAAATATCCAGTAGCTTATAAGTAAGAGAATACCTAAAAATGCAAATCCTCCTCTTGTCTAACAGTTTGTCAGGTTTATAACAACAGCTCTTTAGTACTTTAGTAAACAAATCATACATAAAAACAAAAAACTAGTCAAATTATTATGGTGCTAATTAACCCAACACATAACAAACATTTAAAATACGATATGACATGACAATGACTTGACAGTTGGATTAAACAATTTCATTGTAGATACATTTTCACAATTGCAAACGTACCTGAAAGTGACTAGGTTTTATCTCGCTCTTTCTTTATTTTCAAACATAGACTATGCTTCGTCATTGGTGAGGATGGAGTGTTTGTGGGATGGAGTCTTGCCTGCTTTTATAGCTAACCAGCATGTAGAAATCCCCTAGTTTTAACCGGAAAAGTAACCATCTGCCTTGGCGTCTTACTGTAAACCACGTGTTTTGCCATTACTTGGATATTCGCCAGAGGAGTAAACGGCAGTTGTAAAACCAGTCCCTTTGTAAAAAGCGAAAATAAAACCGCGCGGCTGCAACGTTGGTTATTTGGGGGAAACTAGGGGATTTCTCCTTGTACGGCTATAAAAATAGCATCTGCAGCTTCATCCGTTCCATCAGACCATTAACGGACCTGAACTTAAAGCATCTGGCATTTCGACAAGGTAAGGCAACTGCTTTGGTTATTTTGCCGTTTTATAATGAATTATAGTTAAACTGAATTTATAATGAAAGCAGTTAAGGTGAAGTGCAGCTTTAAACAGAAGTGATAAGAAGAATAATACGATTTAAATCATTATAGCCTAACCTATAGCTTTGAGAGTTTAAGTAGCGGAAAAGATTTAGACCCAAACTATTTGTAAATGCACATTTTCTCGTTTGAAAGTTTAAACCCTCATTCTTAAGATGATAAAAACAACAATAATGACCTTAGCTAATAATCAGACGCTGCAGATTCAAAGGATTTAGGCTATGTAGTTTGTCTTGTGAATGAATGTCTCTACACTGGTGTTATTCTAAAGTTAACCAATGTATTGTTAATTAATAAATAAGTTAAATGCAGGTAATTTTGCCAGCTAAATTACAAGTGTGGAAATGATAGTTGCTTAGATTTCAATCTGTCATTGTTCTGCTGGCAAAAGATGACACCATTTCTGAACAACATTTTTAATTGCCCATATTAATTGTCATTGATATGATTTGCAAAAATATTTGAACTAATCTAATGTGGTTATGAGATCTCTAGAGGGGTTTACTGAAAACAATATACTGCAGTAAGTGTGTGGTTATTTCTCTCACTATTTCCCCATTGCCTCTTACCAGGAATTTAAATTATTTTATTTTTTTGTCAAATAAATAAATATAGACCTATGTAACATAGGGAGTCGTGATAACGCAGTAGTGAATCCAAACCCTTATGCAAAGAAAATATATTTCCAAATATACGAATGATCAATATATTAAATGACATAACGGTATATTAGAAATTATACAGAATAATGTATTGCGTAAATATATTACAGTATATTGAATAATACATAAGGAATTACCACTTTCATATACTGAAAAATATGTGACAATATATTTACTTATATATCACAATATATGTAATTTCATATTCAGCAATACACTTTATAATATATATATATATATGTACATGTGATAAAATATGGTACTGCATGTGTAAAAATACATTGAACATATAATTGCTCATGAGGTATATACACACATATATGGCAATATATATTTCATATATTTAACAATAATTTATAATATACATGTTTTTTAAACATATTTTAAAATATAGCTAGTTTACAACAGCATAAGCACACCTGATCATACCAAAGCACTTACAAAAGTATACAGCTATTATTTTTTAAATAAAGTAAAATATAATCTTATTGTGGTGTTAAGCCAATCATCAGCCTCTACTCTCTACAGGCTCTACTCTTCTGCACAGTGGTAACCTCACAAACTAACACATAAAACCCTTTTATATTTCAAAATAATACAACATTAAACACTAACTGATCTCCCCCTATATTAATATTGAGCAAAAACACATGAAATGACACTTCATTTTAAAATGTATACTCTCCTTTAACAGTCAGAAGCAAAGCATGCTGGGAACTAGAAATCTGCCTTAACTCATTCTGTGAATGTGTGTATATGTGTGTACATACATTCACATTTATATGGGAACTTCTATGTGCAATATATACTCAATAAAAGATCAAACTTTATGAATATTAGATTTTTGTCTTCATTTCTAAATATATTTGTATGTGTCAATATATAGCCATATATTGTCAATGCATATATTGTATATTGAAAAATATAAGCACTAGTTTCCAATATATGGAAATGTATTATGTACTGTAATATATTCCATTATATCTTGCAGTATATTCCTATATATTTTTGTTTCCGTAAGGGAATGCAGGCTTTATTCATAAACGTGGTCAGAACAGGCAGTGTCAAATACCAGCAAAACAGTAACATCAGGCACAGGCAAAAGAGTAATCCACAAAACAGGCAAAGGTCAGGGCAGGCAGCAAAACAATCGTAAAAACCAGATAAACAGTCCAAAAAACACCAAGGCAAGGAAAGGCAAAAGAAAACAAGAAAAAAGGGCAGGAGTACGGAAACTAGAAAACATTAAAGGCTAACAATCAACAAAAGGGGCTTTCACACCGGAGGAACCTTTTCATAGTTCTTAGAACTATTGGCGGATGTTCCTGCTTTTTGGCGTGTTCCCACCGCAGGAACTAGGAACGTACTTATTTCTTGGAACTCTGTTTGGTGTAACTAATAGTCCTCCTGATATGAAATAGGTGTCAACATGGATCGCGGAAACGGGGGGCCGCCCGGGTAACTTTTGAGCAGTGATGCGCTACTTTTGGGCAGTAGCGTCGCAACAAGTAGTGACGCTAGTAGTTTAACTACATTTCTCAGAAGCGTGGTGTTAGCGTCGCTGTTTTCTGAATCAAATAGCTTTTCAGTAGCGAAGCTCTGTTTTTGATCAAGTAGCGTGGTAGCGTCAACAAAAGCTAAATTTTTCAAAGCATTCTGAAGCTCAAGCTCAAATCGGAAATATAACAGCCACCGCCGCTAAACCTCGTAACTCCATTGTCTGCTCAAACTGTCAGTCAAACCTGATTATTCCTCCCGCCTCTCTCGTGAATGAAGTGCGGCGCGCAGTTGAAGAATCTCAGCTTGTTTGCAGTCTGAAAGTAAAGAACTGTTGATTGAATAAGTACAGCGTTTTCTTTACTGAAGAAACACTATATTTATAAAGGCTAATGTTTTTTGTATTTGAGGAGAAGAGTGTCTTGGTCCAGCATTTGTTGTCACAGCCAAATAGCTTATGCGAAGAGCTGAATCTTTTATATGATATTTTGGCCAAATAACAGACAGCGCCCACATAGTGACAGAAACCTGTATAACCTGCAAGTTCATGAAAACCTAAATGCGATGCATGTACTGCCTTTGATGAGGCGGTAATGTCGGGAAAAAACATTCGCTGGTCAAAAACTTCATATGTGAACTTGATTTTGGTGAAATGTTAATAATATAATAACACATGCAACGAACGCAAATAAACATAGCCTATCTGTAGGCCTATACATTTATATGGTAACAGTATACAATAAGATTTCATTAGTTAATGTTAGCTAATGTATTAACTAACATGAGCATACAATGAACAATACATTTATTACAGTATTAATCTTTGTTAATGTTAGTTAATGAAAATACAGTCGTTCATTGGTAGTTTATGTTTGTTCACAGTGCATTAACTAAACTTTTGATTTTAATAATCCATTAGTAAATGTTGAAGTAAACATTAATAAATGCTGCAGAAGTATTGTTCATTCTTAGTTCATGTTAACTACACTAGATAACTAATGTTAACTAATAAACCTTATTGTGAAGTGTCACCATTTATATAAATGTATCTATAGCCTACAATAAAGCCACAATACCAACTACCAATAGGACGTTTCCGGCCGACAGCAAAAATTTATTTTGCCTATATGTCACAATATGAGGTAAATCCAGCCCTGTACATTATATTGGTTTTTGTTGCCAAATTGGTTTGGAACAGTTGTTGAATAAACAATTAAACCAAACTATTATGCCTGTATATCTGTTTGACTGACAGTTTTATTGATCACTGAGAGAGCATTGACTTGGTTCAAAATGAAAATGAAAATTATCATCATCAGTGGTTTCCAAACTTTTTAGAGTGGAGTACCCCCTGAGGCACTTACCATCCTTCTGCGCAGGCACGTGCAGAGGGGGGTGCGATGGGTACTTGAGCACCTGCCCCAACAAGCAATTTTGCGTTTAAAAGACGTCTATTAACCGTCTAAACACAGCCCAGACGTCTAGGCTAAAACAAGACTAAATTTGGGCTGTCAGTGAAAATTTAATAGATGTCTAACCATAGCCTAAGAATAGACTAGTCATCAAATAGACAGCTAATGAAAGCCTACATATATACATCTAATAGACAACAAAATGACAATCCATCCAAACAAATTCAATATACAGCTTTTATTAAGAAAAATAAAATTTTTAACAACTTGGACAACTTAAGACAATACAAAATGATAAAAATACAAAAGAATTAATGACAAAATAAAATTGTATAAATACAATACACTTAAATATAAATATTATGATAAAAAAATCTGGAATTTTTAACAACTTAAGATGATAAAAATATAAAAATGAAAGAATTAAATATTTTAAATAACTTAAGATATTTAAAAGATTTTTTTTAAATACAAATCAAGAGCATGTTATCACTCTTAACATTAAAACATTAAGGATAAATGACAACATAAAAAAATTTTTTGGTTTACTTTTAACAAATAAAACAACCAACAGTGAACTTAAAGGAAATTATTGATTATTGGTTTTATTTCTTGTTTAAAAAACCCTAAAATATAATACAGATTGAGGTGGTTAACAATTGCGGACAAAGTTTGACATTTCAAAATGACCAGTAAAGGAATTATTTTTTAAATTTCTGATTTGCGTTGTAAATTATTTAGTATTGACACCACAATGTTTGATTAATGCTGCATGTTTTGTAGGCTTTACCTGTCCAGCATCCTTCTGGCACTGTCTTTGAGGTTTCTTCCTTCAACTCTGCACAACTTTGACACCTGAATAACACATGCCAATGTCAGGCGGGTAGTATTATATCCGTGTACAAGTGTTTACCAACCATAAACATTGGAGCACATTGACCTGCAAGTTTTCCATCACTAACCCTTTAAAACTCTTTATTCCAGCAGTTTAAGTTTTTCCCTATAGTGCCCCCCACAACCTGTCTCTGCCTCCAAAATTGTCTGGCACAACTGACTTCATAACAACACAGTGATAGCTGCTGTAACTACAAAAGTAGCCCAGTACAAACATTAACCTCAAATGTACATGGAATAATAAATTCACCCCTACTGTTTTATTACATTATGTTTTCTGTTTGTACTGTTTAGGTTTTAATGCTGCTATTTACATTATTTTAATACTGCTGCAAACTTTTTATAATTGATCATTCTTAAGCTTTACTATCAATTTGGAAGTTTCAAAATAAATCTTATTGTACTTGTACAATGACAAGATATTCTATTCAATTAGCTCATGCTCTCTC